TGCTGAACAGCTAAAGGGTCAAATATGACAAAAGGCTGAGGACTGAAGGCTAGAGATGACATAGTCCCAGTGCTAACCTCTAAATCTCTTACCTCATCTTCAGGATCAGGATAAGGTCTCTTGCAAATGCAGTACAATCCAAAAAAGTTGTCATTGTACTTATTGCCACAATTTATCTTTGCTTTGTCCTGAAAGATATTAATTTCAATATATAATATGGTCTAACTTAAACTATAATTTCATGCATCATGAAATTTATGCATTCAATAAGTTTGTGCATTAAATATCTCCCCCCCAGAAGCTGGTCTTTAACTTTCAAAGTACAAAGGAAAAAAATTCATTTCTATTAAAGGGATACTTTTTCCAGGATAGAGGGAAAAAATAAAATTTATTTTCTATGCCTTCTTTGTAGCAATTGGGGGAAAATGAATCATAAATATTAATTATCAACCTATGTAAGCTGACATTGGCCTAGAATTTCAAAAGACTTCTTAATGCTCAGCTGTGATAGCCAAAGCCCCCAGGTTACTAGGAGGTAAAAAGCAGGCAAGGAAATTGTCTAAAAATAATCTTTGAGGAGGGAAAAAAGCATGACAGTTTTAGCAATATGACTGAACAATGTAAAGTCCCTTATTTTCTCTTTCATTTCTGTTATTTCATTGAAAGTTAGCGTATAAGCACAGTTTTTATTATCCAAAAAGCACTGAAAAACTTCTGAGTGCACATAACCCACTCATTATTACCAAGTTTTATTTATTCAGTTTTTAAAGTCATCCCCTTTGCTTTAAAAACCTTAAAGCATAAGCACAATCAACATAATTAAACCTGAATCACTTTAGAACATTCCCCCACAAACCCTTCATATTAATTACAATCTATGCTGTAGGCTCTGAAAAGCTTACTTAGTTTTCCAAAAAGTAATAAATGGGATACAGTCTAATATTGATTTGTCCATTTACAAAGAATAAGCCTAAGAACTTCCTTTTTGGAAAATACTTGGTTTTTATCCACTCGGACAAATATCAATCTCAGCTACTTTTCATGCATTTATAGTTACGGTGCTTACTTACAGGAAATAATTTGCATTCCAAATTTTTAAACTTGCTGTTTCCACAATCACAACGAAAATTTCTGAAACAAAGGAGGAAGAGCCGATTTTAATTTTTCTTTTAAATCTAATGACTTACTCTTTAAATTCATGTCATAGCCTCTTCTCTTTCAACTGGCTTCTAGGATCTAAAAAGTGACCTTGGTTGTTGTTCATGTATCCAATCCAGAATTTCTCCAAGCACATAACAATAAAAGATTTAATAATTCTAGAGATTAACATGCATAAAGACAAGTATCTATATTACACAAACACTAATAAAATCATGGCGGAGCAGCAGGAGTAGTTGAGTTTGCACCATAATTCTATTTTAAAAGGCCCTCTGGGGACTTCCCTGGTGGCACGGTGGTTAAGAATCTGCCTGCCAGGCTTCCCAGGTGGCGCAGTGGTTGAGAATCTGCCTGCCCATGCAGGGGACACGGGTTCAAGCCCTGGTCCGGGAAGATCCCACATGCCGTGGAGCAACTAAGCCCGTGCGCCACAACTACTGAGCCCACGTGCCACAACTACTGAAGTGTACACTCCTAGAGCCTGTGCTCTGCAGCAAAAGCCACCGCAATAAGACGCCCATGCACTGCAACAAAGAGTAGCCCCTACCCTCCACAACTAGAGAAAGCCTGCGCACAGCAACAAAGACCCAACACAGCCAAAAATAGATAAATAAAATAAATAAATAAATTTTAAAAAAGGCCCTCTGGAAAAACTGCTCTCTCCAATTACATTATATAAAAACACATTACATTTTACCAGTGCACAACTACTTTGAATGCAAAAAAAAAACATTAAGAAAAAAAGTGCAGCTGGAAAAGAATCTAAATATCTGAAAAGCATTCAGCATCAGTCTCTGACCATTTTACCTTTTTGTGTATAGCTCGAAAAGTTTATGACTTCCATGACATTCATAACTGCAAGCTAGGCAAAATCCTGCTGGGTCTTCTCCCTCTGGGGTGCAGGTACTACAGGCATATAGTGCTTGTCTCTTTACTGAGCCCTAAAAGACAGCCCCAAAATGGAAAGAGAGAAAAAATTGAAGAAACACGGCAGAGTCACCTAATGCCCATACTATAATCTAAGAAATAACTGAAATCAGATTACCTGTGGTCAAGATTTTCCTGTAAAAAACACTGAGGCTAATAAAAAAGCTTATTCAACAGAATACCAAAACACTGTTGCATGTTTCATACACCAGTGCTTGTTTTCATATAATTTTTTCTTAAAGTGATAGAAAGAAGTTTAATATTTTCAGTCAGCTGCGAATAAGCTAGTCTGCTTAATCATTTCAACACATAAAAATGTAGGAGAATGTGTGTAAGTTTATGTAAGTAATAATCATGCTTAATTTTGGAAAATGCTTGTGGTTCCACCAAAGAGAAAACCAATGCATTAAATGAATCCCTTTGATTTTTAGATGTACGCTGAAGTATTCAGAGGTGTATTGTCATGGTCTGCAACTTATTTTCAAGTGACTGAGGAAAAAAGAAAAAAGAAAGTCTATTACAATGAACAGGTAAAAGAAAAAACAAATGTTGTAAAATGTTGAAAAGTGAATATATGTGAAAGTACACAGGTGTTCATATTATTCTTTCTACTTACCTGTAGACTTAAAATGTTTCCAAATAAAAAGCTGAAAGAAAAACAAGCAAATCCTGATAACGGATAGTACCCTCTTCTGGGAAGGGGGGAGACACAAGGGAGCTACAAGGAAGCTTCTGCTATGCCGGTAATGTTCTATTTCTTGATCTGGGTAGTATGTACCTGCACGTGTTTTTATGCTTTCCCAAGACTTATACATGGTTTGTGCACTTTTCCACATATTTCACTACAATAAAATAAATGTTACGGAAGTCCGTTTCAAAAACCTAACTACATTTCAAAGGTAAATTACATACAGACTTTTTAAAAAAAGGAAAGCAGAGGGCTTCCCTGGTGGCGCAGTGGTTGGGAGTCCGCCTGCCGATGCAGGGGACACGGGTTCGTGCCCCGGTCTGGGAAGATCCCACATGCCGCGGACCGGCTGGGTCCGTGAGCCACGGCCGCTGAGCCTGCGCGTCCGGAGCCTGTGCTCCGCAACGGGAGAGGCCACAGCAGTGAGAGGCCCGCGTTCCGGGAAAAAAAAAAAAAAAAAGGAAAGCAGAGAAAAAGTTGTTTCAGTGGTGACCAAAGGTTTTTAAATACCAGACAACATTAAATACATCTGACACAAGGTGTATTAAAAAAATGTAACCACTTTGCAGTGTAAACTCAACTGGACAACGATGACAACTGGTATTATGATCTCAGTCCGCACCACATAATGACCCCAAATCCCTCTCCCCATCCTTCAGTGTTCCACTCCACCCCCTTGGAAGGTAACCTTCTTCCTCCTACCAATTCTCACCTCTTATTAGTTTTCTTCTACCCACCTTTCTCCATTTTTGTACCTAGAAATATAGGATGAGTCACCAAACAAAGACATCAAACCCCCTCAAATCCTTGTTCACGACATCTTCCAAATGCTTTCTCTCCTCCCCTCCCCTCCTCTGCCAGTGCCACCAGCTGTTCGGGTCCCCGTCTATCCCCCTGGGGGGCAGACCAAAAAACCAGCTAGCACTTGTCAAACTAAATTGCAGAGGAACCAGCTGTCCAGGAGCCCAGCCCACACGGGGAGATTTTCAAATCCAGAGCTCTCTCCTTTAACTCTGTTTTGACTCTCCCATTCGATTCCTAATAAATGCTCTGAGGATGAGAAAAGTAGAGACAAAGATGTCTGGATGTGAGAGGTCACGGGGACGGTTTCGTGAAAAGCAGTTGAGGCACCGAGAAGAGACGGGAAAGGAAGGAAAGAGCAGCCGCTCCAGGGCCAAAGCCTGGAGAATCGTGGGGGGCCGGACGGAGGAAGACCGAGAAAGGAGGGGAGCCCTGCTGGACACAGGCTGAGGACGGGGGCTCGGGAGACTAAGGGTAATAGGACAAGTGGGCCTGCGATGGGGAAATGTACTACGAACAGCGGCCCCAGACCACCACGGGGGTGCCGGCCGCGGCAGGCGGGAAGAGGGTAAGTCCAGCGGGGAAGAGAAGGTTCAGGGGAGCCCGGGGCAGGCGAGGCCCGGGCCGCGCGCCCACCTGCGAGTATGAGCACTTCTCCGAGTCGCTGCCGCCCAGGACGGCGCACGCCTCATTCTCCAGCTCCTCGTCCTCCTCAAGTACGTCGACCAACGACACCACGGGCTCCAGCTCCGACTGCCGCCCAGCGGGCTCCTCGGCTGCGGCCATTCTCAACTGTCACCCGGACCGCCTCTCGGCCCCGGCGGAGGCGGGAAAAGCGGCCGCGAGGGGCGGGGCCGGAGGAGGCGGGGCCGCAGTGCCAGGCACCAATCCCAGAGACGGGGAGCGAAGGAAGGGGGAGGAGCGACTTCCTACAAACGGAAGTTACTCCTCTTCCTTCTCCCGCCTGCGCCAGCGGTGAGCTGGCTTCCGCTTCCGGGTGGTGCGTCACCGACGCGCGCTCTGGAAGTTCGGCGTAGTCCATGGAGTTGTCGGCGGAGTACGTCGGGCAGGAAGGGCAGCGACAGCAGCTGCGGGTGCCCTGTGAGGTGCCGGGCGTCGCCGACCCTTTCCAGGGCTTGTTGTCGGGCGTGGCTAAGATGAGGGAGCTGGTGACCAACCTCCTCGGCTCCCCGGTACAGCGGGAAGCACAGGACCGGGTGGCGGTGGCTCCAGACAAGGCGTTGGACGGTGAGCTCTGAGACGGTGCTGGAGCGACAGATGGGTGGGCAGGGGCGCCCGGGGAAAGTCTGCTCAGGGAGCCCGCGTGGAGTGGCAAACTTGGAGAAAGTGAGCCTGGGGGGAAGAACTCCAACTAAAACTTGTTAGCACCTTCCGCCAGATCTGGGCTGTACCTGGGCTCATTTACCAGGGCTGCTTTTCACGATTCTCTTTGCATTTATATCACACACACACAAAAACGTGCTGAACGTCTACTGCTCTATGCCAGTCATTGGGCTGAGCTCTGGAGAAAGAATGAAACTCAGTTCCTGTCCTTGTGGAACTCTGACCGCTGAGGGGTTAGACAGACAAACACTCTTATTAAAGAGTAGAAGGATGACCCTAGGCTCCTCTGTAGCTATTGCAAACCTAGAGAACCCAAGAAGACTTCAGAGAGGGCGTGAATTCTAAGCTGGGTGTTGAAGGATGAAAAGGAATTTTCCCCGGTGTAAAATTACGCACAAGTTTGGAAGACTGCCATCTGTCACAGAATAGGAGCAGGTTCTGAAGATTGCAGCAGATTTCAGATGACAAGTCTTAACTCTCAGGGACTCCTTTCCTTTCCCAGTTTTGTAGGTGCAGTTTGAAAGTAGAAACGGGAAATTTAAGTGTATTCTTTTTTTTTTTAAGTCTTGTCTTGACTACCCTGAGCTGAAGAACCTAAGAACTAAATATTAGAATCAGGACTTAATTCCTCTGTAGAGGAGCTTAAACTGTAGTGTACTTTCTTTTCCATCTTGTTTACATCTTGATTGCCAGATAATATGAAGGAACCAATTCAGAATATTACACGAACTTCAGATAATAGATTGTTTCCATGAGAGAGAAGTCCTGGTTCTTGGCTCCAAAAGTTCCTCTCTAATCCGTTGAAAATATTACCATTGGAATAAGGACAGGTATAGGTAGAGCCATTTAAAAAAAAATATATATATATATATATATTATTACTTACTGGAAAAGTAACTGCCGTCTGTTCTACTAATAGTGGGTCAGTAATATCTTCATACAGGAAGACATGCTTTTGTATATTTAATGAGTTCCCCGTAAAGCTTCGGTTTGAATTTCCTTTGTTAAAAGCTGTAGAGATTAAAATGACAGATTTTATCTTACATGAATCATATCTTAACAAATACAAAATTTTTAAAATGTAACAATTATGAAAGAAAAGTGATAGAACGCAACACTAGAAAGACAAATAGTGGTGATTATTTTGTAATGTACAGAAATATTGTGCACCTGGAGCTAACAGTGTTGTGGGTCAATTATACTTCAATTGAAAAAAAATCATCATAATGACCAAAAAAAAAAAGAATCCAGTTACCAAATGTGCAGAAGACTTGAATAGACAGTGCTCCAGATAAGTTATACAAATGGCCAGAAAGCACATGAAAAGATGCTCAACATCATTGACTTTCAGGGAAAGGCAAATCAAAGCCACAGTGACATACCATGTCATGCCCACTAGGAAGGCTGTAATCAGAAAGAACAATAACAAGTCTTGGCTAGGATGTAAAGAAATTGGAGCCCTCATACATTGCTGGTGGAAATGCAAAATGGTGTACCTTCTTTGGAAAACACTTTGTCAGTTCCTCAAAAAGTTAAATTTGTCGTACGACCCAGCAGTTCTACTCCTAGGGATTCCTAGTTCCACTCCTCGTTCTCCCAAGAGAACTGGAAACATGTTCCCATTAAAAACAAACGCACAAATGTTAATAGCTGCATTATTCATAATAGCTAAAAAGTGGAAACAACACAGATGTCCATCAGCTTATGAGTAGATAAACAAAATATATATCCATACAATGGAACATTATTCAGCAACAAAAAGGAATGAAGTACCGATAAATGCTATACAACATGAATGAACTCTGAAAACATAAGTGAAAGAAGGCAGACACAAAAGGCCACATGTTTTACGATTCATTTGTATGAAGTGTCCACAATAGACAAATCTAAGAGATAGGAAAGTAGACTAGTGGCTGCCAAGGACTGAGGGGAATGGGAAGTGACTGCTAATTTGTATGAGATTTCTTTCTGGGAAGATGAAAAGTGTTCTGGAATTAGTGGTGATGGTGGCCCAGCCTAGTGAATATCTAAATCAATAACTGTACGCTTTGAAAGTGAATTTTATGGTATATGAATCATATCTCAAAAAAACTGATAGAAAAGAAAGGTTTTAAACACCAGAATTCCCAAAGTCTTTTTAACTGTACATATTTCTAATTTGATATATCCATTGTTCTATTAATCCCTAAAGTGAAATGGTCTCATTATCAACTGCTTTAGCTATGTATATTTCTTTCAACTAATGAACATATTGTCATACAACAAATATTTATTTTAAAAGGTGATGATGAAGATGATGCAGAAGATGAAAATAACATTGATAACAGAACTAACTCATATGGACCCTCTGCAAAACGGCCAAAAACACCAACTTAACTGTAGCTTTTGTGAAATTTAAAAGACTGCTATGATATCTTATTTATCACACACTGACATTTAAGGAAGACTTGTGCTCTAATTTGGAAAGCATTTGTTTTGTTCCCCTGGGACAATTTTGTCAAAGAAGAAGCTTTTCTGCTGTTTCCATCAAAGAAAGATAGAATAAATGTTTAGAAAGGAATCTTTTTTCTTGAGTGAGAAGTAAGTTTCAGACCATGGAGATAAAATAGACATTTAATAATGCATAAAATCCACTATGTTGGCAACTGAATTCTTTCTTTATACTTTTTAAATACCCTCTGGATTAAATTGTGTGATGTCTACATCTTTTAGCTTCTGCTTCTGTTATAAAAAGTACATGTCAAGGTTCATGGACCATTATATTTCAAGGAACTGACATGAACAAGTGGTGAAAATTGGGTATTAAATTTAAGAATGGCAGTTCTGTATAAGTAGAAGGAAAATGGGAATAGAGAGAAATACTGAAGAGAAAGGAGAGCCCTTGAGAGAGACCCAAGGAAACCTTGAATCCACACTCAAACCCAGTACCCAGACTTCTGGAGACGATACCACTCAATGGATATATGTTTAACCTGTACCTTAAGAGAGTTATAAATGGGGTGTGCTTTTAGGCTGTGATGTGCTATTTATGTTAACACAAATATAAGTCTTTAGGTAAGCAACCTGTGTTGAATATAAAAAGATACTTCGTGTCATCCTGTAGTCAAACTTCGATTTTGCCTAGCAAAGGACTATCAAATCCTTTAAATATACATATGTATATATTCCTAAAATATATGTGTGTGTGTATGTATTCCTTTTCTGCTTGTCAGAGGGACTAAGGCATTTTTCATTTACTCTGCGTGTTTCCTGATTCATTTAGATAGCTAAACTGTAGAGAAATCAAGTAGCATGTACCTACTGAAACACAAATTGTCATAGAATTTTAGAGTTGGAAGTAACCTTACAGATTATATGATTTATTTCAGAGGTGAATCAAATGTGAGCTATTTGCCCTGAGTTACAGAGCTTATTGGCAGAGCTTGTGTTATACACATAGCCTTTGAAAGATTCCCGTAGCACTTTCCCAGTTACACATTCTGAAACCTATAGCTTACATAGTACATGCTATTAAGGAAACTGAATTTACACACCTTTTCATATGTTTAAAGTATTGTTTTACTTGGAACATCAGCCTTCCACTAAGTACTCTTATGTAATTAAAACAATACCAACTAGAAAAAGTTTTATAAATGGTCAGAAATTACCTTGTTTAGTTTGTGATAATGTCTCTAATATTGGGATTTCAGCTCAGTTACTGATTTGTAATAATCTTTTATCTTTATACAATCCTTAAAAAAACAACCTGTATAATTAAAATAGTTCATACTTTTAAAGTAGTAGCTGAACTTTGCTCCTAAACATTTTGTCTCCTTCTGTCTTTAGTAAGTATGTTTATGAAGAAGAAATGTCAACATACTTGTGCTTGTGGTCTAGTGTTTGGAGGTCTGGGTTATAGGTCTGATCGATCTTTTTCTGATTCTAATACTGTCTTCCTAAGTGAGCCACATGTATGACAAAAAAGATTTTGAAGGTTTGAGGGACCAGCTTGAAGGACCAGTAGAAAAGAAATGCCTTGACTGGTTTTCTAATCTGAAAACCAGAGGTAAAAATGTTGGCCACAGGCATACAGGATACAGTTATTCTCTGAAACAACTCCAACTTTACTGTTATACAAGAAAGTCAACCCCACAATCCTACCTAAAAATAAGCTTGATGCTAGACTTAGGTAATTTTTTTTGTGTGTGTGGTACGCGGGCCTCTCACTGTTGTGGCCTCTCCTGTTGCGGAGCACAGGCTCCGGACGCGCAGGCTCAGCGGCCATGGCTCACGGGCCCAGCCACTCCGCGGCATGTGGGATCCTCCTGGACCGGGGCACGAACCTGTGTACCCTGCATCGGCAGGCGGACTCAACCACTGTGCCACCAGGGAAGCCCTTAGATAATCTTTTAAAATATGAAACATATGGAGATCTAAATATGAAATATATGGACATGTGCAAATATGTATATATGTAAGTGCTTTTGTGTCACATTAAATACTTATTTTAAGAGTTCTGTGGCCAAGGACAAGAACTTTTACTCTTTTATAATAGGTTACTGTTGCTTGGCTGTAATATTAGTTAGGAAGTTTGAACATTTAAACATTTCCTTCAGCAGAACTTTCTCAGCTCCTGAGACAATGTTAGGTCCCCATACTATATGTTTCTGTGGAACCTGGCCCTCTGTACTTACCCCCTCATAAAATGTACTTTATTAGAATTATTTCTTCAAGCTGCTCAAATTTTTTATATAAATTTATTTATTTTTTTGGCAGCGTTGGGTCTTCGTTGCTGTGCATGGGCTTTCTCTAGTTGTGAGCGGGGGCTACTCTTCGTTGTGGTGCGCGGGTTCTCATTGCGGTGGCTTCTCTTTGTTGTGGAGCACAGGCTCTAGGCGCACAGGCTTCAGTAGTTGTGGCACGCGGGCTTCAGTAGTTGTGGCACGCGGGATTCAGTAGTTGTGGCGCATGGGCTTAGTTGCTCCGTGGCATGTGGGATCTTCCTGGACCAGGGCTCAAATCCGTGTCCCCTGCATTAGCAGGTGGATTCTTAACCATTAGCACTACCAGGGAAGTCCTGCAATATTTTTTTTAAACTTTTATTGAGAAGGCTTGTATTTTTAAGGAAATAAAGTTTGTTTTCTTCCAAATGGAAAAATGAGAGACATCTGTGGCCCTCAGTTTATTAT